CAGTCAGCCACTGTAAAAACCTAAGTACTTTCTGCAACCTCCTTACTCAACACTAAATTGCAAAGGCTCTCAGATTCTGACTGATGGATGTGGTCCTTGTTTTTGTCATTGATGATGTCATCAACTTATCTACATGTCTGTACTAGTTCATGAGAAATAGTGAAAACCCAGAGAAATCACTGGACTGCTGTAAAACCACCAGTGCTCTCCTATCTTCATCATTTGTTCTCCCTGCCATGTTTACAAGGCAACCAACCCACAGAGCACTAACTTAGAGCCCAACAATCCACCTGCTTCCCCGTTCTATGGGGCAATTACTGCAGGAACTAAGCTAAGAGAAATGCACATCATGCTAACTATGCCGGGTGGCTGCTGGACGGGATGACTTATGAACCAGGTCATCCCCACTTCTAATACTGACTGGAGTGATGATAAGATGTCACAATATTCAGTCAAGAAAAGGGACAAATGGGCAGAAGTCCAGACTCAGTGGACTACACTCAGGGAGCAGATCGCCTATGGGAGATTTTGATGGGAGGCTTCTATTAATATTTTTACTACTTCTTATGGATATTTTAAGAAACCCATGAAAGAAATGTAAGGGGAGGGCAGGTAGGGTGAATTTTTATCCAAACATCAGTTTAAAAAAAATTAAAAAAAGAAAGGATCTGAAAGTCAATGTTTTTGTTTCTATGAACCATATTCCCTAATGTATTCTTTTCAAGAATGCGTTCGTTAACATTTACTAAGAATGTACCACGTTTTTATGTTGCTAGGCACAGAAAATAGGGCTGGTCTCCAAAACAACACATGTTACTGGGAACAGTGAAGGTCACAGTGACCAAGGGGAAGATGAATTTCAAGGTGCAGACTCTTTTAAGAGAAAAGTAAAATCCAAGTGCAAAAACACATGTGCTTAGGAAAGGCACAGAGCACAGGCTCATCTTCAGAGAAATTCTGATAAGAAGCTATTAAAGGAGAGTTCTTTTGGGACATACCCCAAATGAATTGCAAAAGGTCACACATGAGTCTTTCTGCAATGATATAAATGCGACATACAAATTAGCATAGAGAAGATCAAGTCATTAAATGTTCCTTGTCAAGCCACCCAGGGGAAGAGAAGGAGGAGGAGCAATCTGGAAGAAGGAGAGATTATGCAAGAATGGACAGGTCATTTGGGTTGGAGTGCTAGTACAACAGGGTGCTTGCCTTACATGCAGCGGACCTGGGTTCCATCTCTGGTACCACATATAGTCCCCCAAGCCCTGCCAAGAGTGATTCTTTACTACAGAGCTAAGACTGAGCCCTGAGCATCACTGGGTTTGTCCCAAAAATATAAGAAGAGAATGAACAGTTCATACTGAAAAGTATTCCTGGTCTTTCAATTTCATAAATGAGCAAAATGAAAAAAAGAACATAAGGATGGGGATGGAGAATCTATTGTATAGGGCTATTACTTATTATGCCAGACCATGGCTACCAGTGTGACTTCTTGTTATAACACAATTGGAAATCCAGAAACTTAAAACAAAGGCTATTAATTAATATATTCATTTCTTTGTTTCTGTGACAGAGAACAAACTCAGGCCCCAAAACAAGCTAGGCAGATGTTTGATGGCAAAGCTGTATCCCTGACCCAAAAATATGTTATGTCCAGTAAAGTTAACTTTGTGAAAACTCACGGCTATCCTCCTTTTAAAAATAGAATATTTTAGAAAATGCAGTGCTCTCCACAAGCAATGCCTTTGATGTCTTTTTGGAGGAAACTCACTTAACTTGCGGTTCTGAAAATGTAATCTTCAAATTAAATTGCATGTGTTTGCATCTTCCTCAATAATTTCATGACCAGACTGAAAAAACTTCCTAACACTGTACCAACCTCCCAATCTCTTTTCCCATTAAAACAATGTTTCTAAAGAAGACCTACTAATACACAATGATCCACTGGTAGGTTTGAAGTTCTGGTGGCAACAGACAGCTCTCAATTAGTTTGTTTTCCATCAAGCAGACATTTGAAAACATCTGTCGGTCCCTTGGAGTCTGACTTAACTGGCATGATTAAGCAACCAACATAGATTCTGGCCTCAGTGTTAAAAGGGGGCTGGATTAAAACCAGTTATTTCCCCCTGCTGGTTGGACATGTTTTACATTCTCTCCCTCACTGCCTGCAGCTTTAATGCTCCCCATAGTACGAAACCCATTTATTTCCCATCCACTGACTGACCTCCCAACACATCATTAACACGCCTCCAAAGCCTCGATCCTGTCAGTTTTAGTGGGCACAGCACTCAAAGCTATCTTGGTGCTGATCAGGGCTCCAGGAGGAAGAGAGCAAAGAAGGCAAAGGCACCAATTCAGATCTTGGGGAACAGCCAGCAGAGGAAGATGGGACCCAGAAGGGGAGGGCGGCCCGTCTGAGGACCAGGTGCATGGCGGAAGATTGAAAGGTCAGTTTATAGACCATAATTAGATGCCGCTGCCACTCAATTCTTGGCTACTTAATGGCAGAAGGATCAATATCTGCTTTCGATTTTCATGTAGAGCATTATGGCCTTGGAGGGACAGTGGTCCCCTGGGAAAGAGGTTTGAGTCAGGGCATGGGGCTTGGAGAGAAAAATTTATGGCATAGATGACTAATTTTATGGGTTGGTCAAACACAGTGTCTAATTCATATTTGAAATTTTTGTTTCCTTTCGTCTGACCCACTTTTTCCTTTTTTTTTTTTGACATCACTACCCACCCTGGAGTTGGTCTCCAAAAAAAAAGTAACGTGTGGAGAATATCCTGTAAACATGGAATTGAGTCATGTAAACAAAGCTCTGTCAGTTTGAAATAAAATCCCCTGGGTTCACCCAGAGGGATCCCTGAGCTCCTGAGCAGGGTGAATGCAAACAGCATTACGCCGTGCAAATACCATCTCGGTTCTAGAACTTGTAACTGTGCTAAAGTGTCAGTTTCCTTCTGTTTTCTGCCTGGGATACTGCTTTCTAGCAAAATATCAGTGAATTTCTATTTTAAACAAGATTCTCATAATCCAAATGCTTGAAGTCCATTTTTAAATGTATATATTTTTTTCAGAACCAAGCAAAGAATATTGAGGAGAGGAAAAAAAAAAAAGAAAGAACAGGCAATAAAATATTTCTAATATACAACTGATGCATGGTTTAAAATGATTTTTTTGAAAGTATTTAGGAAATGCAAAGGTAAACTTCAAAGAACTTTGGAAAAGTGTCATTTACCAATACTAAATACAATGGAATATTACATCCGGTTGTCAGGGCAATTAATCACATCATTTTTTTTCTTTTTAAAGGATGGTAAAGGTAAACGTAAAGGCCCTCCCGTTGATCATCGATTTGCTCGAGCGGGCCCAGTAACGTCTCCATTGGAGACTTTGTTGTTACTGTGTTTGGCATATCGAATACTCTCGGTAGCTTGCCAGGCTCTCCGAGAGGGGCGGAGGAATCGAACTCGGGTCGGCCATGTTGGCCGCTTGTAAGGCGAACGCCCTACCTGCTGTGCTATCGCTCCATGTGCGATAGGATAGGATAGGATAGGATAGGATAGGATAGGATAGGATAGGATAGGATGATAGGATGGACATGTGCTAATTTGAGGCACCAAAGCAGTAGAGAAGGGCTCCAGTGTGTATTGCGGATATAACTAAGTTTCAGGTGCTCTGTAGAGTTGGGCCATTTCTTAGGTCGAATTACCTAGATCTGGAAGCTGTGAAATTCATTCTTGCAATAACTGTCAGCATGGCAATTGGAACATGGCAAGGTGGTGTTGGAGCTTCAGGCTCTCTGGGCTTCACATGCTGGGCTTTTGAGGTGAAGACACCGCCCCCCTCTGAATCAGACCCTGCCAAGGTCATCCACACCCACTTCTCACCTCTCATCCACACCTATCTGACCTTCTAGGACCCCAATTTCAGAGCACAGGATTCTTCCATCCTCTGCTGCAATCAGGCCTACAGCTCTGATACAAAGCCCTAAAACCTTCTTGGGTTTCCAATAATTGCAACATTTTGACTCACCTGTTCCTTCTTGTACATGCGCTGATCTTCAAATTACACTTCCCCAAATCAGTTCTTCCAATTTACCCTCCCAGACATTCTTTACTAGCCATAGGACAGCCACTCCTTTGAATTTTACCGGAATGCCCAATATTCCTCAAAGAATGTGAGGCCTTTCTAAACAAGGGACTTCAATGCAGCTTAGAAGATTAAAACAAGGGATAAAGGTGGTGGCTCCAGGAACTTAGGAGAGAAGTGTGGGTTTACCAAAGGCACTCACAATCCTAAGGAAAATTCCTTTAACCTGGCCAGAAATGATATACACAGTTCCCTGTAGCGGCATTTATTAAGCATCTCTAAAAGCCAGGAACTCTGCCAGGGGTACATTTAGGTACATCGTCTCATTTATCCTCAAAGAAACTCATGAGTAAGTTTTAAATCTCACTTTATAGATTAAAAAAAAAAAACCTGAGGCATAAGTGATGTGTGTCCAAGTCTCTCGCAGCTTGGAGATAAATGGTGATGAGGTTAGGGATTTCAGCTCTTGTCTGGAAGATCACAGAGCCAAGACCCTTCTCTATATCCCAGTCAGGCCATGCTGGGATAGAACCCACGATACTGACCTTAGACATGTTACTTTATTCGCAGGGAACTCAGAAGTACAAAGGCAGCTAGTGTACAATATAAGCTAACTCGCTGACCAGATTTTATGACGAGCATGTTTATTCAGTCACGCACACACACAAAACCCAAGAAGTTAGAGTTCCCTGATAAATGATAAACTAGTCTAACCTATAAAAATGACTATAAAATTCCATTAGGTAGAAGCACATGAAATTACTTTATCCGTCAGTCAAAAGAGTTCAACAGGATGAACCTCACACAACTCATTGTAATGATGGAAGTTGAGGTGTAGGTTCTGCGGGGTGTCACCTCGTTCCCTTCACAAAGCCCCTGAGGTACCAGCTTCCCATGTCTATCGTACCTGAACAGAAACTGTTGCTGCTGATGGTCCTCGCCGAGCGCCCAGAGCTGGGGTTGAACTCTTTGCTCTCTTCCTCAGAGAAGGGAGACTCAGAGGTTGGGGACACTTTCTGCTGTTGCAGGGGCAGGTGGGGTCGAAGAATCAGACGGGGAATTCGGCTTCTGGAGATCTCCTTCTCCTGATGCTGCCCCCTCTGCTCCTTCTCAGAAGTGAACAGTGAAAAGAAAACAACAAGAGTCTGGCTGGCCCCTCTACACCCGTCACTCCTTCAGGGCCCAGTTTCCAAGAAAGCACTTTCCTGAATATTGAATCTTCACAAAACAGTCTTTATTTCACTTCTGCCTGTCTATGTGTCTGTCTGTCGGTCTGTCTGTCTGTCTGTCTGTCTGTCTCTCTCTCTCTCTCTCTCACACACACACACACACGTGTGTATTTGTCAGGAAGGCCATCCAAACACTCCCGTTTCATTCCTAACCTAGTTTGCTTCCCACTTGTCTATCCTATTCAAGCTCTCCCAAGTGCTCTATTTCTCACAGCACGCCCAGATTCACTCCTTCGTTTCCTTTAGACTTGCATTTTGTACTCTCCCAATTAGCTGTGACTATCTGGCCTCAGTTTCCCCATTTCCTTACAAAGCAAACCCCTATACCTGAAGAACTCTCTCCTGCTAGATCAGGGAGCCTTATCTCTCTAACCCCTCTTTTTCCTGCCAGGATCTTAATTATTCATTAATATTCTGGTTTACAAGGCTCATTGCCAACACAAAAGCAAACTACAACCCAATGGCTGGTCAGATGGCTCTACCTTTTATCTCGGGGTTAGCTTTTGTTTTCCAACCTGGACATCCCTCTAAGAGATATTTCTCCTGCCTTTAAAACACAGCGTTATAAACAGAGGACCATGCCTTTTTTTTTTCTTTTTCAACACGTGAAAGTCATATTTTGGCATTTTTTTCCCCAACTGCTTTTCAAGCATATCTCGCTTGATCTTCTGTCAGCCCACTGTGAGAACATTCATCTAACGTTCTTATTTACAGATGAGGAAACCGTGGCTAAACGAGGTGAAGCGGCTTCGCCAGCACTGAGCAGTCTAGAAGCAGAATGGACCAGATGGAGTCTGGTGCTTTTCGGGTTAGCAGCACTCCGCCTTCTTACAGCATGGATTGCTAGGAGGAGCCCTGCCAGAACCCCCACCTCCGTCCCCAGTCTCTGCACTGGAAGGACCTTTGCTTGGGCAACAAACACGGTTTCGAAACTCGCCCTCCCGCTCCAGCTCTAGTCCACGCAGCTTACCGGGACGGGTCTCAGCCAAAGCCAACAGCCCGGGCGGGGCCAGCGCGGCGCGGGGGCTGGCAGGGGAAGCCCCGGCCCGCGGCGGGAACTCCTGGGGTGCAGCCAGCCGTCACCCCATTCCAGCGGCCACGGCCGCACCCAGCCTGGAGGGCTCTGCTCCGCACACAGCGCCCGCGGGAATCAGGCACACTGCAGCCCCCCGGCCAAGCTGGGTCACCCCCCGCGCGCACACTGCGGACCCCGGGCAAAACCGGGTCACCCCCACGCGCACACTGCAGATCTCCAGCAAAGCTGGGTCACTCCAGTGCTCACACTGCAGACACCCCCCCCAGGCAAAGCTAGGTCACCCCAGTGCTCACACTGCAGACCCCCGCCCCGGAAAAGCTGGGTCACCTCAATGCTCACACGGCAGACTTTCCCCCCCGAAAGCTGGGTCACCCCAGTGCTCACACTGCAGACCCCCGCGGCAAAGCTGAGTCACCCCCGCGCGCTCACTGCAGACCACCCCCCACCCTCCACCCCGGGCAAAGCTGGGTCACCCCCGTGCGCATTGCTCAGTCTCCAAATACTTGCACTCCTATTACACACACACACACACACACACACACACACACACACGCACGCACACACACACACACACCACGTCACTGGAGAGCTAACCCTCCCAACATCAGGTCGAGAGGGTGAAGGCCCTGACAGTCTTTTTTCCCCCTTGTCAATCCCCCGAATTTCCCCCATCGGCCTCCCCCGACTCTCTAGTTCTCATCACCCTGGGCAGGACCGCTCTGCCCCGGCCGCCAGGTCCCCGCCACCTCCTCATTCCTGGGAACCCGATTCCAAACGCGCTCCGATCCTCCCAGACCTCACCCGCCGCGCCTGGCCCCGCAGTGCCCACCTCCCGCGTCCCCCCACCCCCGCCACACGACGTGTCCCCCTTACCTTGCTGTCTCGGAGGGGCCCCATCGCGTCGCCTCCCGGCCGCTCCTGGCGCCGCCGCCGCCGCTGCTGCTGCTGCTGCTGCTGCTGTTGCTGCCGCCGTCCGGGAGGAGGAGGCACCTGCGGGCGCGGGAGCGCGGAGGCGCGGCTCGGGACGGCCACTGCGGAGCCGGGTGCCACCGCCCGGCCCCGCCCCGGCCCGACACGTGGTGCGGCCCCCGGGGCCTCCCTCACCTGCCCGCCCCCGGCCGCCCGCGGGCCCCGAGCATCCCCCAGCGACCCCGGATGGGGTACCCGGGGTGGGGCGGGAAGGGGGTGCGCCAGGAAAAGCCCGCTCCGGAACGGAGACGCGCAAAGTTGGCCCCTGGCCTGCCCTCCCGGCCGCCGCGGTCTCCAACGTCCACCTACCGCGCCCCGCGAGGACCTGGCCCGGGTGTCCATGCAGCGGGCCCCCGGCCAACCCAGCGCTGCAGAACCGCCAGCAGCCGCCTCGCGGGCTCCCCGCATCTGGGCGGCGGCGGCTGCGATGCTCCCCGGGCGGGCGGGGCACTGCAGCAGGAGGGCCTAGGTGGGCAGCGCTGCTGCAGGACACGCCGCCGGGCCCGGGGAAGGCAGCCCCGGGCAGGGCCACGGGCGGGGAGGGAGTGGCTCTTAGAAGTAGGCGGCCAGGTAGGGAGGCCCCGCTGGCAGATCTCGGGAAGTCGGGGGAAATGAGGATTTCATCTGCTGAGGGGGTGCTCCTGCCTCCAGCCCCAGGCTCCGGATTTAAGGGAGAGGACCCGACTCTGGACGGTCCTCGGGAGACAATTCTGCAGCAACCGAGACCACCCACCTGATTCCAAATCCGTGACATGTCCTAGCCGAGCTCTTCTCTGCACACTCCCGCACCCTCTCCCGGTTAAGGCCGCGGGGCGTGGGAAAAGTGTAGGATGCTCCTCTAGGCAACCTGGCTCTCTCTCTCTGTCTCTGTCTCTCTCTGTCTCTCTGTCTCTGTCCCTGTCTCTGTCTCTCTCTCTCTCTCTCTCTCTCTCCTCCTTTTCTCGCTCTCACTCCTTCACTCGCTTTTGCTCTCTCTAGCTCTGTCTCTCTTGCTCGGTCTCTCCTCCCTCTCTTCTCTCTCTCCTCTTCCAACCTCCTCCCTCGCTCTCCCCATTTGCTCTCCCTCTCTTCTCTCATCTCTCTCTCTCTCTCTCTCTCTCTCTCTCTCTCTCTCTCTCTCTCTCACACACACACACACACGCCCTCATCCCAGTTCCTTAATAAAACTTTTCTACTTCACCGTCCTCTCCTGAAATTTCCTTAAGACACGTAGAGAATTCTGGTGGTGGGTGGGGCTGCTTTTGTCTTTCCTGAAGGGTATGGCCTCCTCTTAGCCTGAGGTCTTCCCTGGGGAGTAGGGGTCCGGTCCCAAATGGGGAGGGGGCATCTTAGTAGCTGCTATAGTGAAACTGGCAGGATTTGAAGGTCCACCCTGTTTTGACCTCTACTGCATCCAATTCACAGGCAACAACTTGGCGAGCGAGGCAGGAGTGAGGTGGCACTCTCTCTCTCTGGGCCGCATCCTCTTGCTCTATGGTGTCTCCCCAACCCTCCTCCCCAACCTGAATGCAAACTTGGGTCTAGGGTGACACTCCAATCCTTGTCGGTCAATGAGCCTTTTTGCCCAAAATACTTGACCTCACTGAACTTCAAATTTATTCTCCCAAAATGGAGGGAAGTGGTAATAATACTTACCTCAGGGTAGCTGAGGGGATTGTAGGAAACAAGTTCTCACCTCCTACAAAGTAAGAAGGCCACATGCTCAGCTGACCGAACAGATCTTCCTAAAGGGTAGTTTACACACGCCAGGTCCTCCATTTAGTATTCACTGAGGCCTCTTACACAATGGGCATCAAAAGCGTTTTGGGGAGACATATTTGTTCAAAAAAGTTAAAAAAAACCACAAAGGCTTGGGAGCCTTTAGAGTAGGGATTATGGTTTTGATGTTTTATGATCAATAAGTTTAACTCTTCAGAGAAAATTCGGACTCCACGTGTAAAAATGACTTGTCTCACTCATAATTTAGAAATATTCTAAGCAGTAGCAAAGATGGGAAATCAAACACCCACCAGTGTTCCACATGGGATGATTGGACTTCTTGAAATCTCTACTTGGACCTTTAAAGTACCAATTTGCTGTCCAAAGAATATTTTTTTCTGAGTCTTCAGCTTTGAGATCTAGTAAAGTACAATATGGGGCACTGTAAGTCTGGAGGCACATTAGCAAAGATCAATTTGCCTTCTTCCTGTACCTCCCAAGATGTTCTATTGCCTATATCTTCAATGCTTTTTCAATCTTCAGAGTTCTCTTATGCGGGAGGATTCCTTATTTGGATGGAAGGGTGGGATTAATTTGTACTTTCTATATCCACAACTGCCTCGGATAGGAACTTTAGGAAAGTGATAGTCTAGAATGATTCATGAAGCCTTTTCCAAAATGATGGGCCCAAGGACATGTACTACAAGATATGAATGAACTAGAAAGGTCAAAGAATGTTTCTGAGTTATCTGTTAAAAAGAGAGAATTTAGTCCGGAGGTCAAATGACAGATGCACCCTCTGCAGACTCCTTCCTCATCCTCCCTCACGCAACCTCCACAAACAGAACGCCTAAGTAATTCGCAATCTCCCTTAGAACAAATGTCTCAACTCGAATCATTTCTGTTCTCTGCTCATCTCCATTATTTTCATTCAGAGTACTAACCACGAACATCTCAGATTATTGTCAGAGGAATCTAACTAAGGATGGCACACTTCTAAACTGTTTTTTTTTTCTTTCTGGGAAACTATAGGATTCTTTTTTTCCACAAAGTTTCTAAATGGCCCCAAATCATGTCACACTTCTCCATTAAAACTCCCATAGTTTCCTCCAAAAATATTCAGAATATTCATAATCCTTTAGGTGGCCTTTCACAATCTGTTGATATCTTGGATGTTAAATCTTGTTCCTCTTCTTCCTTTACTCCCTTCATCTCCATGGTCCTTGCTGCTCTGCCTCCCCGCCCCCCCTCCCCCAATTTATACCCAGGAGAATTTGCAGTTCTCTGGGGGGTATCATGCTATTGTTTGCCTCTAGTTTGATCTCCTTATTTAGAGTATTTCTTGCACCCCAGGGTATCCATCTTCCTCAAGTCCTAAAGATTCATTACATTTCATTCAGAGATAGCTTATTACAGGACACCCACAAAAAGGGGACATTCATTTTACATATTTCCTAGACAAACATATTCAATTAACCCATAAAAGCTATTATGACAGTGGAGGAATTTTGACTGCTCTTGCACAGTAGGGTTCAACAGATCACAGCCAAAGAAATGGATGGAGGAATGAATGAATCCCATAAATCCCGGAAAGGGCCCTTCCGGGCAGGATAAGGAACACAGATAAAACTTATATTTGCACAGTGACTCAAATCAAATTGCCTCTGATCTGTCTTTGCATGTGACGATGAGGTGTGTGCCTAAAAAATCCAACATGTGGAAAGGAAAGCTTTGACTACAGAAGTGAGAGGCTGTGCATTCGCCTCACTATCACCATAGCAACCCTGCCGAGGGAAAGGCTGATGATTTCATGTCTCTAAGCTCTGTACTTTTGAAACCCGAGCCTGTTTTCTGCTATTCTATAAGGCAAGTTTTACAAATGATAATATTCATGCTGCCGTTAATTTCATTCAAGTGCTTCTCATGTCATTAAGAGAAATGTCTTATGAGGTGGATTGGATTATACCATCAACTGTCTGTAATCTAATAGAGCATATTACATTCATCTTTCATCTGCTGCAAAACATCATGTATCATTTTTAGTTTCTCCTTAAATACTTGTTTTCTGGCTTGGTCTTGTGATTTTGTGGCGTTTCCCTTACACATTCGTGTCTTGCTGCTTGTTTATTATTATTTTATAAAAATAAATATCTAATGCTGGAAAAGGCTTGAACCTTTAAATATTATCAATACTATCCCTTCCCAGGCCTCAGAAGGGATGGGAGAGACAGAGCAATATAGGCTGGGAATTTGTTTGGAAATGTGTTGACAGAACCATGCCACTAAATCTAGGATTGGATGATTTGATTCTTTGCTTATGGAGGATTTATCAGTAGATGCATCCTAAGCTTTCCTCGGCACCAAACTCTATTTTCAAAGCTCTTGCATGTAGATCAGAGTCTCCAGAAAACCCTGCGAGGAGGATGTGGCTGATCTCGAAATCAGCTCAGTGAGAAACGACAGGTTTTTGTTGAGCTCACTCCCCTCCCCACCCTTCCCTGAGACAGCAAAGTTCACAGAAAAAGATGCCACACAGAGCCAAAGGCTGCATCAAACACCCCAGCCCCGTGGCAGTCCCCCCCCCCCCCCCACCTCTCCTCTTGCTGTCTGCTCACCTGCCCGCGCTGGCTTTTCCTCGGCCTCAGGACTGACAAAGCCCCATCTCCTAATCCTATCAGCAGGGCGAGCCGGCGCTGCCTCTGTCTCAGTGACCCGATGTTGGGTGATCTGCACAGCAACAAGGAGCAGCTGACGTGTTTTACCACACGTCATGAAGAAAAGAAACTGCATTCTGGGGCATCCTGGGAGTTTTTTTGTGTGGTGGGGTGGAGACCCATGTTTTCCTTCCCAGGGAGAGAGCTGCCTGCTTTCCCGTAAGAGCGTTGTGACCGGCCCTCCTCGTACCGTACGTGTGTTCTTGTTACTATCTGGTTAAGAGATTTTGCTGTTGTGAAACGCTAATGAGAGAATTCCGCAAGACCACTCTCTGAGAAGGGGGGCCCAGGGGTACCTGTGGGCAGAGAGAGGAGTGCAGGAACCCCAGGCCAGGCCGGTTTGCACAGAAATTGGGTTCACGGTGTGTCAATGATCTCTTCTTGGTGAATGAGTTTTCAGCCAGAGGCCTCTCTCAGGTGGAGGACAGGAAGGCAGGAAATGTCCAGGACAGGGCATGGAGTTTGGGGATGCAGGATGGAGAGGATCTAGGCTCCTTTTTGCTTGATGGGAAGTGGGGGTGGGGACAGGTGTGAGGTAATCCTTCAGAAATGCTTCTGCTATTTGTGAGCGGCCCATTTGTGAGATGAGGGGCAATATTAGGCAAAGGTCAGTCTAGGGACCTTGTTCAACAAATCGGGCCACAGGGTGGGATGAGCAGATGGGTCATTATTGGACAAGTGGGTCTGAGTGGCTGCATTAAGAGGTGCTGGAAAGAAGGAATGTACAGGTTGCCATCCTGCTTAGACAAACCGAATCTTAACATTTACCTATTGATTGACTTCCGGTGACTTGGGTAAGAGGGTGATGTGTCTGTCTCAGACTTACAGGAAGAACAATGAAAGTTGTCTGGGAGGTAGGCAATGGAAGGCCTAGATCCAGAGGCCGAGTTTGGCAGCCGGAAGAAAGGCATCTTACTTTCTTTCCCACAGGGTAAGGAGAGGACAGGTGAAGGCCACTAGAACCAGTGGGATGGTCATTGGAATAGCTGACTGAGACTCTTCTAAGAAGTGCCAAAGGGAGGGCAGTTACCCCAGGTTA